TAGAAGTTCAGTAATTCAGAAATTACACTGTACGTCATTTCCATGAGACTGAGACAGAGGGGTTTACTCGTTGTTTGAGCCATGGGAGGACACACAATTTATAAGAACCGGTTAGCATACAGATTAAGCGGGATTCAGAGACTGTTCATTTTGTTACGATATTTACAGCCATTCTGTGATATTTTTCCTTTAACAAAAGCCCCGCAATACATTGCAAACTTGTTAACAGTATATATATCTCAAAGACAATTAAGGTCTTTTCATGGACCGGGTTTACTGAATGTTCCACGTTCCAGAACTGCAACATACGGTGATCGATGTTTTTCAGTTGCAGCACCAAAACTTTGGAACACATTACCTTCAGAACTACTTGACTGTAAAACTCTCTCGTCTTTTAAAAACTCATCTGGTTACAATTACCTACTTGTAGTTATTTACGCAAGTCTGTAAGTTTTACCGGTTTTATAAGACATTTTAAACGTTTTATGTGTGTAGCAGCACACGGGTATATCTTTTTTTTTTACTTTCATTTTGTATCTTCTTTAATATTTTACGTTTTATCCAATAATACTTTTTTGATTGTTGTTTTTTTATGTACAGCGCCTTTGAACGTGCTCTGCATGAAAAGGGCGCTTTATAAATCTGGTTATTATTATTATTATTTGATTTTGTTTAATTTTCTGGTCAATGAATTGAAAATAAAATATTACGTAGTAAATATGATATGCTGAATTTTGTATGGTCCAAATGTGAACAAAATCCGTCCACAAATAACCAATTCATACCGCGAAATGTAAGCTTCGGGTTTTAATTGCCTCTGATATATTTGTAATAAACGGTCTCTCGTAGTCATTGTGGCGAATTAAATGTATATGTTATGTAATTTGTAGTAAAGTGGAGACTCAAAGCATACAAAACCTTCCTAACATTTACTATTGCCAATATTGACCTGAATATTCAATGACATTTTGTCTCCGAAGTAAATCATACGGATTTTAAAGTATGGCATAATGGTACACATGGTTTATGTATACTTTAAAGTTATCGACACAAAACTTGCCTAATTACCCTTGGGGATAATGAGTAAACACTTTCAGTTTCAAATCGAATGTTGTATGATCAAATTATTTTGTATGTTTTTTTTGTTTGTTTTTTTCATATTATATTTTGCATGCCAATTACCCATCGTACGATTGTTCAAATATATACATATACATCTATATACCAAAGTTATGCTTTATTTCATGAAAATGCACAAAAATTAGAAGAAATGATCCACAAATGAAAAAAGTAGTTAATGATATCTGAAAAAAAAACAACACTTGTTGAGGATTCAAACTTACAACTTCGGGATTGAAATACTATTATACTTCTTACCACTAGGCTATCAAGACGTTTGTATAAAAGTCAGTATCGAGCATTTTCCTATCATTAAAAACCAGTAAGTAAATCTCATATAAATTACGGAAACTAACGAAAAAGCTTCCGAAAATGAACGAGTCTCAGGTTAATATTGCCGAATAATACCGCTACAGAATATGCTGCCTGTCATTTAAGTAGTTCAATGTAAATATTAAATAATAGTCTATATCTCATTATAAAGCAAGAGCATGACAACTGTAAAAATTGTGTACTAGTTTGCGTAACTTTTGATAGATGTACAGCATATTACTGCACATTATGTACAACTTTCAAAGGTTTTTAAAGATATTTGTGTCCCCTCTACGGAGTGACATAAAGGGATCACTTCTCCCTCATATGTCTGTCCGCCTGTCAGTCTGTTTGTCCGCCTGTCCGTCCGTCCGTCTGTCATTAAACTTGTACGGACTACTCCTTATACACTACTAGTGCAATTTCATCCAAGGTTTTCATGAATGATTAGTACTAAGTCTAGTTGTACATATCGTCAGCATTTTCCGGTTCAACGATCTTGACAAAGTTATGGCCCTTTAATATTTTTTTTATTTTAAAGTTTGTCCGGACTATTCCACTTATAACACTAATGCAATTTCAATGACACTTTACAGAATTGATCTGTAGCTCAAGTCCTTGTGCATATTGCACGGCTTTTCCGGTTGATTGATTTTTGGCCGAGTTATGGTCTTTACATAAAACATGTGGGGGTGGGTTGTGTGTTGCAAGATACACAAAAGCTTGTCCGGACTACTTCTTAAAAACTGCGGGTGCAATTTCATCCAAAGTTTGAAGAAATAATCAGTTGTTAGTCTAGTTGTGTATATCATCAGCTTTGTTATGGTTCAATGAATTTTGTCAGAGTTATGGCCCTTTTATTTCTTTTTATCTATTTTAAATTTGTCAAGACTACTTCTCATATACAACTAATGCAGTTTCAATGAAACTTTACAGGATTGATTGGTAGGTCAATTTCTTGCGCATATGACACGTGTTTTTTTTTGCTAGAATTATTTTAGTCTAGTTATGCCCCTTGATATAATAAAATTTGTCCGGACTACTCCTCATATACCATTAATGCAATTTCAATGAAACTTTACAGGATTGATTGGTAGGTCACGTACTTGTGCATAATACACAAGTTTTTTGCTTGAATGATTTTTGGCTTAGTTATTGCCCTTGACTATTTTTTTATGTTGACAGCTATACAGAAAATTGTCTGGACTCTTCCTCAGAAACTATTGTGCAATTTTTAGATTGAATGATTTTCTGCTAAGTTATGGCTATCATTAGGCGACACATGTCATCACTGATGGCCCTTGTATATACTACCAGTCCATTATTTATATATTATTCAACCCATTTTTCTAAAGAATTAAAACATAGATTTCTGAGGAAAATGTGATTTTAAAAAGATTGCTTTTATTTGATTTTTGTCGTTGGTTAATGCAATAAGGAATTATAATCATTTTAATTTCCTAAATAAATTCAATGATTCTGTACGTAAAACCATAAAACAATTGTATGAATGTGATACTTGAATACTCGGCCGCTAAAGTGGTAAAAATATAATACAATTATTATAAAAGTTACAAGCTGGATTTTAATAACAAAACATCTTTATGATATACTTAAAAATACAATATTGAGAAATATTTATTAAATAAAATGCGTATTTTCATTTTCTGTATTTTCACTGTAAAAAAAATAATTTTCACTGCAGTGAAACATATTTTCCGTATTTTCACTGGTGTTTGGCGGACTTCTTTCTTGAAAATTCTGCCAGTACAAAAAAAATTAAGGGAAAGTCTTTCAAATTGTAATGCCAAAAAAGAGAAAAATGTATATAAAACAGAAAATTCAAGTTTTTTTTTTCTATAAATACATGATTTACTTTCATCTTGTAGGTGTTCGATAAAGTGCGGCAAATAACGCTTCTCGAGTTGTGGATATCTAACTTCGTTTTTTTTTCTACAAATTAAGAATGAATAACTTCGACTGCGGGTGCGATTTGTGATCCCCATACCTCCGTCGCTTAATACAAGTTCATGATACGAGAGAATCAAATAATTTTATTTGGTGTGAAACGGGTAAGTCTATTTGATTAAAGATAATAAACAAATTACAAGGAACGAAAGACGCATGTTGTGCTATAGGTTCCTGCGTTCTATTCCATTTTCCGTTATTGAATAGATGTACACCTAGATATTTAAAGAATTTGACAACTTCGATTTTTTTTGTGTTATACAAATAAAAACCATAATTTGTGCGACGGCCGTTTTCAAAAATCATTTTTTTTTATTAACATAAAGTATAAAATTATAATTACTACAGTATAATCCTTCATCGTTTAATAATGATTGAAATGAGTTAGAGTTTTTAGGAAAAAAATCGCAGCGTCATATGCGAACAGTAATAGAAATATTTTAATATCATCAAAATTAATTATTCCGTCTAAATCATTCGTGTACTTTCTAAAATATCATTAAAAGAAAAATAGACACAATAAATTGCTTTGCGGGTCTCCTTGTTTTACCCCAACCTTTGAACTTATTGGAGTTGACTTGACTTTGTTATAACGAACGGAAGATTTAATAGAGGTTTACATAGACCTTAAGGCAACAATAAATTTAGAACTTACATAAGCATTCTAAAGTTTTTGCCACAGTAGTACACAATCAATTCTTTCATATTTTCCCAGTCGATAAAAGCAAAGAATAATCCCATGAAATGATTGCGACGTGCTTCAATCTAATTTTTACAATTTAAGCAAAAGTGTATAGCGCAGTGATCAGAAAAATTCGAGATATGTTCGGAATCATTGTAGTTCGCTAAACATAATCTATTACCGTCGCGGTACTATTAATAAATGTAAATTCCCCAACATCATGTTTTAACCTGCCGGTTGCTATGACGATATTTGTAGATTTACAAAGGTTTATGAGTCGTTTTCCGCGAATATCAAGAGCTTTATCTTTGTTTTTTTCTTTCTGGTATATTTACATTATTTTCTAAGTCATAATTTGAATCTTAAAACCTATCATAAATGATAAATTCGAGCTCCTTTGCAGTTCTAGAGTTTAGATCTCTATTTATAAATACTTTTCCTAATAATTTGTATTTTCTGTACCTAATTCTATTAAATCAAAACTATTCATATCACTTTGCCTAATAACATTTGACGTATGTGGAGGAATAAATGTACTACAAATAAAATCATCAATATCACAGTGAAATAATGTTTTACATATTTAAGTCCTGGTGACTGTCAACAACATAAATTGTGTCGTTTTAATTATAACATAGTATAAATGAAAAATAATGTATGACACAAAAAAAAGATTAAATATTTATCGTGAAAACAAAATTAACATTACTCGAAACTAAATTTATACAGACATTGTAAGAGTGGAAATTCATATAAATGCTAGAAACTGGAAAAAGCGCAAAAACAACAGAAACAACAAGACAAAATTATTAGTATTATTATGCAAATAGATCAATGAATATTATATAAAAAGATGAAGAAATAAAAAAATTATATCAAACTACTATTAAAAATAATTTATAAATAAAAAAATTATTACCTTACAATGAAGGTACCTATAACCAGCCTTACCACGCCATTCATTCTCACGCTACTGAAATCATATCAACATGCATGAGCCCTTTATAATGACACTTAAACCATAACATATGTTAAAATATACATAATTACTTACGAAGAGATTATAAAATGAGCTTGTAAGTATGGTGGCATATTTCTGCCACCAGATAACCTGATAACTAACTAGTAAATGCAAAGGTTAACTAGTTACGTAACTAGTAAACCTCTTAATTAACTAGTTAGATATCAAGTTAACTAGTTACGTAAGTAGTTATTTTTTTCAATAAATAAAATATCATAACGGGAAATAAATGTATGTTAGTGCCTACAACTGCCATCCTTTTATTATTTTACCAGCTAAATATTAAGTGATTAACTAGTTAAGTCTCTATGTAACTAGTTAACCTCTTAACTAACTAGTTGATTAAGAGGTTAACTAGTTACGTATTTACGTAACTAGTTAAACTCTTAATTTACTAGATAATTAAGAGGTTAACTAGTTACGTAAATACATAATTAGTTAATCATTTAACTAACTAGTGAGTAAAGTGGTTAACTAGTTACGTAAATACGTAACTAGTTATCCTCTTAATTAAGTAGTTAGTTAAGTGATTAACTAGTTATGTATTTATGTAACTAGTTAACCTATTAACTAACTAGTTAATTAAGAGGTTAACTTGTAACGTAACAAGTTAACCTCTTTATTATCTTGTTAGTTAAGTGATTACATAGTTACGTATTTAAATGACTAGTTAACCTCTTAACAAACTAGTGAATTAAGAGATTAACTAGTTACGTAACTAGTTAATCCATTAATTTTTAGCTGGTAAAATAATAAAAGGATGGCAGTTGAAGACACTAACATGAATTTATTTCCCGTTATGATCTGTTATTTATTGAAAAAATTAACTAATTAACCTGATAACTAACTTGTTATTTAAGAGGTTAACTAGTTTCGTAACTAGTTAATCTCTTAAATATTTAGTTAGTTATCAGGTTTTCTGGTGGCAGAAATATGCCACAATACTGTTCAAAAGTCGCGCATGCATTACATAGATAGTACATTCCATAAACGCTATCCATCTTATTATACTGATTGTTAACAAAGACATGAAATTTACGTAGCACTATAAAATGCATAGCATTATTATGCAACACGAAATATCTCATAAACATGCATGTGAGTTTGCATTGAGTGCACTAGACGGCCTCCAAAATTAACATCGAATATAGAAAATTGCAATGTCTTGGTCGATTATGTAGAATTTCTGATGTATATCTTGCTAAACATATTTTTAACAGTCGCTTATGATTAAGCAGACTTCTGGCTTATTAATATATGTGCAATTCTACAAAAGTACGGTATAAATGGTGTTATTAATACATAGATAAGGGTAGGTACATTTCCGTTCAAAATAGCATGGATCAATGTTGTTTTAAGCCTAGGTAGAATCAATGTCGATTTGAACGCAATGCCCTTGATGTAGTTATTAGAACAGGGGGCGCAATCTGTATTATATGTACTCTACGAAGAAATCCAAGATTATCGTGTCTATGTTTCAAACTAGATTTCTAAATTCGGTTGACTGAAGACATTGTACAGTATTTGATTTATCAACATCCCTTTTTGTCAACATTGACGTAAACAGATAATGAAAGGAATATCGAATTCGAGCTGTATATAAGACTTAAGGTAGAACGCGACACTTTGCGACCTTTCGAGTAGCGTATTGAAAATTGGCAAGTACAGTTGATTTTATGTCAATAGTTTCATCCAATGTTTGTACACACGACGTCAAGGTTGACCATCAAAGCCCATTTTTTAACGTCGTAGCGTATCAAACACTGTACAAAAGAATAAATTTTTATGGTTAACTTATATCAAAAACATTTTAATTGCATGCGGCTTAAGTGGTATTTGGACGCACCATGACTTTCCAAACACCAAATGGTTAACAACTACTGTAAAACAGAAATTTTCTGAATTTTTCTTGAATGATTGCTACTCGAATATTGGAAATTCGAGCAAATGTGCAAATTACAAACTTTTAAAACAAAATTTTAATTTAAGAAATACTTAATAAATGCACAACCTAAATACTTAAGATAAATGATTAACTTCCGAACAAGAAGCCATAGACTCCCTGTAGAAACTGGATCTTGGCATAGAATCCCATTTAATCTTAGAATTTGTACGAGTACAACAATGCAACAATGGTATTGGCGATGAATTCCATTATCTCTCCGAATGTTCTTTTTTTGTTAGTCACTCGTAAGCGCTAGTTAAAAGCAAAATATCACAACAGACTGAATATCATTATTTATAAAAAATTAATGGAACATAAGTGTTTAAAAAAAGTGGAATACAGAAAATTCTGTGAATTGGTCAAAGAAATAATTTGTTTATATAGTAACTAAAAAATATTAGGTCAAACAATTTTGGTTATGCTCCCGTTGTTATTATTGGTGAGAAATATCCTGAGAAATATCATGTAATTATTTTTATCTTCTTCTTCTGTTTTTCTTCTTCCTTATTTAGATTGAAATAACACACCTATTTAGCAAGTTTAAAATATATTATGCCATATGAACACTTATGTATGATTGTATTTGTGTTTTGTGTTTCTTTTTTATATTTTCATTCACTGTTTTCGAGAATGACGCTATAAATTAGTATATTAGTATAGACATAATTTTTTATTTTATAGAATTTCGATCTTTCCAATTTTATTGATTGGTGCCTCGGTCTATATCTATTGTCTTATTTACCTAATATTGTCATGTATGACTTGTGCATGTCTCGAGTGAAATAAAGATATTGTATTGTACAAGGAATTGGACTGTGGGCAAGGGCCAACCAGGCCCTGCACAGAAAGGTAAGACTCATGGCCGTAGCCCAAATACAAGGCCCGCACCAACTCGGCAAGCATTACACCTTTTTCGTTGTCCGTGCGTATTTATTGCTTCGTTAACAATTGCGCTCTTTTTTTTTCTAAAAAAAAGGTGCGTCAACCGGCACTGTGTGGATACCGTAAGTCCGATTGGCTTGAGAATTTGACTGTGTGCAAGGGCCAACCAAGCCCTACACAGAAAGGTAAGTCTCATGGCCGTAGCCCAAATACAACGCCCGCACCAACTCGGCAAGCATTAGCCCTTTTTCGTGTCATTAATGCGTTAATTATTGCGCTCTTTTTTCTAAAAAAAAAGGTGCGTCAACAGGCACTGTGTGGAAACCGTAAGTCCGATTGGCTTGCAAATTGGACTGTGTGCAAGGGCCAACCAAGCCCTGCACAGAAAGGTAAGTCTCATGGCCGTAGCCCAAATACAAGGCCCGCACCAACTCGGCAAGCATTACCCCTTTTTCGTTGTCCGTGCGTATTTATTGCTTCGTTAACAATTGCGCTCTTTTTTTCTAAAAAAAAAAGGTGCGTCAACCGGCACTGTGTGGAAACCGTAAGTCCGATTGGCTTGCGAATTCGACTGTGTGCAATGGCCAACCAAGCCCTGCACAGAAAGGTAAGTCTCATGGCCGTAGCCCAAATACAAGGCCCACACCAACTCGGCAAGCATTAGCCCTTTTTTGTGTCATTAATGCGTTAATTGTTGCGCACTTTTTTCTAAAAAAAAAGGTGCGTCAACAGGCACTGTGTGGAAACCGTTAAGTCCGATTGGCTTGCAAATTGGACTGAGTGCAAGGGCCAACCAAGCCCTACACAGAAAGGTAACTCTCATGGCCGTAGCCCAAATACAAGGCCCGCACCAACTCAGCAAGCATTACCCCTTTTTCGTTGTCCGTGCGTATTTATTGCTTCGTTAACAATTGCGCTCTTTTTTTCTAAAAAAAAAAGGTGCGTCAACCGGCACTGTGTGGAAACCGTAAGTCCGATTGGCTTGCGAATTGGACTGTGTGCAAAGGCCAACCAAGCCCTACACAGAAAGGTTAGTATCATGGCCGTAGCCCAAATACAACGGCCCGCACCAACTCGGCAAGCATTAGCCCTTTTTCGGTCATTAATGCGTTAATTCATTGCGCTCTTTTTTCTAAAAAAAAAAGATGCGTCAAACAGGCACTGTGTGGAAACCGTACGTCCGATTGGCTTGCGAATTCGACTGTGTGCAAGGGCCAAGTAGGCCCTACACAGAAAGGTAAGTCTCATGGCCGTAGCCCAAATACAAGGCCCGCACCAAGTCGGCAAGCATTACCCCTTTTTCGTTGTCAGTGCGTATTTATTGCTTCGTTAACAATTGCGCTCTTTTTTTCTAAAAAGAAAAGGTGCGTCAACCAGCACTGTGTGGAAACCGTAAGTCCGATTGGCTTGCAAATTGGACTGTACGCAAGGGCCAACCTAGCCCTACACAGAAAGGTAAGTCTCATGGCCGTAGCCCAAATACAACGCCCGCACCAACTCGGCAAGCATTAGCCCTTTTTCGTGTCATTAATGCGTTAATTATTGCGCTTTTTTTCAAAAAAAAAAAGGTGCGTCAACAGGCACTGTGTGGAAACCGTAAGTCTGATTGGCTTGCAAATTGGACTATGTGCAAGGGCGAACCAAGCCCTGCACAGAAAGGTAAGACTCATGGCCGTAGCCCAAATACAAGGCCCGCACCAAGTCGGCAAGCATTACCCCTTTTTCGTTGTCCGTGCGTATTTATTGCTTCGTTAACAATTGCGCTCTTTTTTTCTAAAAAGAAAAGGTGCGTCAACCGGCACTGTGTGGAAACCGTAAGTCCGATTGGCTTGCAAATTGGACTGTGTGCAAGGGCCAACCAAGCCTTACACAGAAAGGTAAGTCTCATGGCCGTAGCCCAAATACAACGCCCGCACCAACTCGGCAAGCATTAACCCTTTTTCGTGTCATTAATGCGTTAATTATTGCGCTTTTTTTTTTCTAAAAAAAAAAGGTGCGTCAACAGGCACTGTGTGGAAACGGTCAGTCTGATTGGCTTGCAAATTGGACTATGTGCAAGGGCCAAGCAAGCCCTGCACAGAAAGGTAAGACTCATGGCCGTAGCCCAAAATTCAAGGCCCGCACCAACTCGGCAAGCATTACCCCTTTTTCGTTGTCCGTGCGTATTTATTGCTTCGTTAACAATTGCGCTCTTTTGTTCTAAAAAAAAAAGGTGCGTCAACCGGCACTGTGTGGAAACCGTAAGTCCGATTGGCTTGCAAATTGGACTGTGTGCAAGGGCCAATCAAGCTCTACACAGAAAGGTAAGTCTCATGGCCATAGCCCAAATACAACGCCCGCACCAACTCGGCAAGCATTAGCCCTTTTTCGTGTCATTAATGCGTTAATTATTGCGCTCTTTTTTCTAAAAAAAAAAAAGGTACGTCAACAGGCACTGTGTGGAAACCGTACGTCCGATTGGCTTGCGAATTGGACTGTGTGCAAGGGCCAACCAGGCTCTGCACAGAAAGGTAAGTCTCATGGCCGTAGCCCAAATACAAGGCCCGCACCAACTCGGCAAACATAACCCCTTTTTCGTTTATCCGTGCGTATTTATTGCTTCGTTAACAAATGCACTCTTTTTTCTAAAAAAAAGGTGCGTCAACCGGCACTGTGTGGAAACCGTCAGTCCGATTGGCTTGAGAATTGGACTGTGTGCAAGGGCCAACCAAGCCCTACACAGAAAGGTAAGTCTCATGGCCGTAGCCTAAATACAACGCTCCGCACCAACTCGGCAAGCATTAACTCTTTTTCGTGTCATTAATGCGTTAATTATTGCGCTCTTTTTTCTAAAAAAAAAGTGCGTCAACAGGCACTGTGTGGAAACCGTAAGTCCGATTGGTTTGCGAATTGGTCTATGTGCAAGGGCCAACCAAGCCTTACACAGAAAGGTAAGTCTCATGGCCGTAGCCCAAATACAACGCCCGCACCAACTCGGCAAGCATTAGCCCTTTTTCGTGTCATTAATGCGTTAATTATTGCGCTCTTTTTTCTAAAAAAAAGGTGCGTCAACAGACACTGTGTGGAAACCGTTAGTCCGATTGGCTTGCGAATTGGACAGTGTGCAAGGGCCAACCAAGCCCTGCACAGAAAGGTAAGTCTCATGGCCGTAGCCCAAATACAAGGCCCGCACCAACTCAGCAAGCATTAGCCCTTTTTCTTTGTCCGTGCGTATTTATTGCTTCGTTAACAATTGCGCTCTTTTTTTCTGAAAAAAAGGTGCGTCAACCGGCACTGTGTGAAAACCGTAAGTCCGATTGGCTTGCGAATTGGAATATGTGCAAGGGCCAACCACGCCCTACACAGAAAGGTAAGTCTCATGGCCGTAGCCCAAATACAAGGCCCGCACCAACTCGGCAAGCATTACCCCTTTTTCGTTTATCCGTGCGTATTTATTGCTTCGTTAACAAATGCGCTCTTTTTTTCTAAAAAAAAAGTGCGTCAACAGGCACTGTGTGGAAACCGTACGTCCGATTCGCTTGCAAGTTCGACTGTGTGCAAGGGCCAACCAAGCCCTGCACAGAAAGGTAAGTCTCATGGCCGTAGCCCAAATACAAGCCCCGCACCAACTCGGCAAGCATTACCCCTTTTTCGTTGTCCGTGCGTATTTATTGCTTCGTTAACAAATGCGCTCTTTTTTTCTAAAAAAAAAGGTGCGTCAACCGGCACTGTGTGGAAACCGTAAGTCCGATTGGCTTGCGAATTGGTCTGTGTGCAAGGGCCAACCAAGCCCTATACAGAAAGGTAAGTCTCATGGCCGTAGCCCAAATACAACGCCCGCACCAACTCGGCAAGCATTACCCCTTTTCTTGTCCGTGCGTATTTATTGCTTCGTTAACAATTGCGCTCTTTTTTTCTAAAAAAAAAAAGGTGCGTCAACCGGCACTATGTGAAAACCGTAAGTCCGATTGGCTTGCGAATATGGACTGTGTGCAAGGGCCAACCAAGCACTACACAGAAAGGTAAGTCTCATGGCCGTAGCCCAAATACAAGGCCCGCATCAACTCGGCAAGCATTACCCCTTTTTCGTTTATCCGTGAGTATTTATTGCTTCGTTAACAAATGCGCTCTTTTTTCTAAAAAAAAAGGTGCATCAACAGGCACTGTGTGGAAACCGTACGTCCGATTCGCTTGCGAATTCGACTGTGTGCAAGGGCCAAGTAGGCCCTACACAGAAAGGTAAGTCTCATGGCCGTAGCCCAAATACAAGGCCCGCACCAACTCGGCAAGCATTACCCCTATTTTCGTTTCATTAATGCGTACATTATTGCGCTCTTTTTTTTAAAAAAAAAGGTGCGTCAACTGGCACTGTGTGGAAACCGTACGTCCGATTCGCTTGCGAATTCGACTGCGTGCAAGGGCCAACAAGCCCTGCACAGAAAGGTAAGTCTCATGGCCATAGCCCAAATACAAGGCCGCACCAACTCGGCAAGCATTACCCCTTTTTCGTTTATCCGTGCGTATTTATTGCTTCGTTAACAAATGCGCTCTTTTTTCTAAAAAAAAAAGGTGCGTCAACAGACACTGTGTGGAAACCGTACGTAAAAGATTATTGTGTGTCCTTTTGGAGTTGTTTTTAACACTTTAATTTCCTAGAAACGTACTTTTCTACTTTTGAACTTTCATTTGAATTTTCATGTGGTCTTCTTTAATTGTAATTAAGAATGATAATATCTGTCATATGTAGTGGCAAGTATCGGTGCCGCCTATGGGCGGGTACCCGAGGGACGGATATTTCTATGTGAAGTGCAGACATATGTCAGCTTTTTTTCTTGTATGTCTAAAAAAAAAATTCTTGTATGTCTAAAATATTCTATCACATTATTTTTCACATGACTGATAAAGCGCCCGGTCACGTGACGAATGAACAAAAATTAATTTCTTTGGAATGTTTATCTGTAAACAAGTATGTGTTTGATTAACTAGTATCTTAATATTGACATATTTTTTACCCTTTTCACTTATAAAACTGTGATGACATGAACATAGCAAAGGTCATTTCTTTTCTTAGCTTGTCGGCTCTTTTTAGGTGGCTCGATAGCTCAGTAGGTAGGTGGCGCGATAGATCAGTTGGTTAGACCACTGGCTGTCACTCCTGAGCTTCCGGGTTCGATCCTGGGTAACACCCTTGAGATTTTCCAGTAACACCTACTTATCGCATGGTTTGGAAATTTTCCTTTGTTCTTACTAACCCATTATATTCAGTACACTTCAATGAGCATTTGAAAACTGTATTACTATGTAATAGTTACATAATATATATACGAGGACTTTACCGGCTGGCATCAACGCATGGGGCGACAACAAGGGTCAATCATGGAAATTAATCTCGACGTTCCGTCTCGATTAATGTCCTATGATTGGCAACAAGGGTCAATCATGGAAATTAATCTCGACGTTCCGTCTCGATTAATGTCCTATGATTGACCCTTGTTGTCGCCCCATACGCTGATACCAGCCGGTGAAGTCCGAGTATTTATTCTGTAACTGTTTTATCGCATGACCATCACGACTTTTTTCTGGGAGATTTACGCTCCCTAGTAATATTTGCTTTATTTAAACATATAAATATTTTTAGAAATACCCACATTAGATGCCGTTGAAGGAACTGGACATAAATAACCATTTGACGAGGTAAGTTGATGCATTTTTCCCAGCTCATTTTCAAAATATAATCTAGAAAATATTGTCGATAAGAATCCCGGTGTATATTTCAGAGGTATATCTTGTACGCGTATTTTTTCAAACTAACGACAATGAAGTGATTTTTACATAACAATACTTCCGTCTATTAATAATTTCGCTAGAATATTATGTTCATACGTGTAAGTCATTTACTGAGTGGCTTACTGGTAAGAATACATCTCTTGTAAAACGGAGGCATTGTTTAAAAAAAAATGAATAATTTGATCATTGTTTCAGAGTTGTCCTCGAGGTCAGGATGCAGAAAATGGCGATTACTTTCCACTGGAGTCAACATCTTTATAATAACTGCATTTTCAAAATTTGAAGAAAAAAAATCGAGATGATATGTAAATATTTTTTTTTTAAAAGTTCTGTCAACTGTGAAATGTTTTGTTTTGCTCTTTTTTCAGGTATGCTCGGTTTATTATTTAAAATAAAATAATAAACTGGGCATGCGCGAGAAAGTGTACTGATACTCCATTTAGAGCACCCCAAAGTTTTCCAATACTGCAATTTAGAGAACGGCGATCTTCAAAGGAAAGTTGTGGCGGTCATGCGATAATCGCATGTATCAGTGCTATACACTGGGCATGTAAAAGAACCAAGGGATCTATTCAATAAGAGCTCGGGACTGGTTCCCGGATTCCCTTGTATCTGATAGCTGTCTCTAGTGTCTGCTGAGGTGAGGACCTTATTGAAAATAAGTGCTGAGGTCAGGACCTTACAGGAAGTGGCGGTCATGCGATAATCGCATGTATCAGTGCTATATACTGGGCATGTAAAAGACCCAAGGGATCTATTCAATAAGAGCTCGGGACTGGTTCCCGGATTGCCTTGTATCTGATGTCTGCTGAGGTGAGAACCTTATTGAAAATAAGTGCTGAGGTCAGGACCTTACTGGAAATAAGTGCTTGCACCTTCGTAGGCTATCCTTGACAGCCCGGTCAAAAGAAAATCATCATCATCATCTTCTTAAAATGATTTCACTCATAAAAATAATTATAAAAATGACAGCACGGACGTGCAAATTTACAAAACATATTACTTAAGATTTATTTTAGTTACTTAACTTTAAATTGCTGATTGAATTATAAGGAAGTGTGGGAATAAATGACGTTGTGCACGTATATACTCACGAAAGGTGAACAGTCATATAACAGTTAATAGTTTAAAGTGTTTCCTTGTGAAACTCGAGCTAACTCATGTAGACATGATCTTTGGTTAACCACAAATAATGAAACATTTTAAATAGACTATAACTTAGCATCTTGCCCAGAAAAAAACTAAGTTATATGTCTCTTTATAGTAACATAAGTCACATTTTGTAGCCGTTTTTAGTACTATCATTGAAATATATCCTGAGGAAGGTCTTGAAAGACCGAAACCGCTTGATCCTTGAATGAACCAGTTTACAAACCATCCTGATATTTGACGTGTGTTCTCTCCTTCTCTTGATTTACTAAAAGTTGTGTATGTTTAATGACTTAAGGATTCATGAAAACATTGGATTCACCTAAAATATGAATAGATCGCTTACTATAGAACAGCTAAATTCAGAGGAAGTGGGGAGGCTAATGCCATTGCTAGTTTTCCTCGGAATGGTCGTTAGCACGGGAATTCCAGGAAAAATAACCGTGTGTGTAGTTTACTGGGCGAAATCAAAAGAGTCTGTTTCAAGATTTTTCATCTGGTGGCTTGCAGTTATTGATACTATTAGTTGTTTTGTGATATTTTTAGAAATTGTGAGCGTTGTTAAGCAGTATACCTACACCAACACGTGGTTATGTAAATTCACAGCTTTCCTCGCAGTTTGGTCGGTTATCACGTCTGCTTTTGCATTGTGTTTAATAAGTTTCGATCGTTTTCAAAGGATATGCACACCTCATCATATTCAAGTATGCCAACAGAAGGCAAAGTTTATGTGCTTATCAACTGTTGCTATTGCTTTAGTAATTTCATTGCCGTCGCTAATTCTGTATGGAGCGTATACGGAGGAAATTTCACACCACAACTTAACCAGTAGCGCGTGTACCATTCAGAACAAGTATCAAGGCACCAATTTCGCCCTTTTTTACCACATTTTCTTATGGATATTATTCCTTTTTGTTTTAATCTTTCTTAGCGTGTGTTACACCATGATTGGCAGGAAAATATACAAGCAGATGGGACTGCGTCCCTCAATGGCGTCGAATAATGACGTCTGCATGAACACGAGCTTTACTGTTTTGAAAACATATCAAAACGTGTGTAAGGAAAATTGTACTGTTTCTCGGAATACATGTATGTCAACGCTTAGTAATCGTTCAACAGTACAAGGACAGGCTAAAGCCAGACAATCTGCATTACTGATGTTTTTAATCTCTCTAGTATTTGTGGTCAGTTTTCTTCCTATCCTTATTTCAAGAATGATAGGAGCCTTTGATTTGACATTTGAGAAGTCAATGTCGGATACAGGAAGAGCTTGTTATAAGTTTTTCAAACGCACTTATTTCTTGAACTGCGCTATCAATCCGTTTATCTACTGCGCATGTGCGGCGACATTTAGACAGGAAGGGCGTGCACATTTTAGACGTCTGATCAGCAGGTTCAGATAGACATGAGTCGCATCCCAAACTTGAAAAGTTTGTAAAGTTTTGATGCAGAGTAATTTCTGCATAGCGTTAAAAATTGAGTCATTTTTGTTCAAACTCATGATGTTGACATATAATTGTAAATCAGTTCGGTTATAAATGTACCAATGGTATGATAATTATATTTGATTAAACTTTATTTCAAGACAACAACTGTAATTTTTGAATAGCTCTGTTATAATTTTAAAATTTATTGTCATATCATTTAGATCTAAGATAAAAATGTTGATGAAGAAGGAAAACTAAGAAGTAATACGAATAGAATAAACAAATGCGTTTAAACTGTAATACATGCATGAATGTAAACGGAATATCATTTCGTTACTTGCGATTCCATATTGCATAGAGCTAAGAATTCTTGGTGATTCAAACTGTAACTGAATTCATGAATATTTTCATTACACAATGTTATACGGAAATTCTCAAAATATATAATATTTAGCCAGATAATTAATTGGTAACTGAAAGCCATCATATCAGCATGTGTTGTATTTATATTTTGTTGCTATTAAGTAATTTATTTATTTATTTATTTATTTATTTATTTATTTATTTATTTATTTATTTATTTATTTATTTACTTATTGAATCTGGTATTTGTTCATGTAATATTACTTTCATCGTATTTGTATATACATTGTAATAAATGTTGTATACGTCATTCACATTTACTAGCATGTTTATAACTTTATATAAAGCAGAAGCAAAGAACTGGGTATATAATGTTTTTAATTTCGCTTGCATTTACTATTAGTAACCTGTCCTTGATTTGTCTTTTATTAGACAGTTCATTTGTGCCTTCATTGAATGACACAGAGAGGGCTGTTTACAAGTTTTGCTTGAGATCATACTATATAAACTTATAGCGACACGGTTATAGCGAACTTCCGGTTATAAGGAACAAATTATTTTGGCCAGAATTTTGCCCTTCTTTACTTAATATAAAAAATACGGTTATAGCGAAAACGGAATTATCGCTTATAAGGACCTCATTTCTTAGTCCCAATTTAGTCAAAAGTACAGAAAATAACACTTTTATAACGAACTCCAAAATATTGGCTATCCGTAAATAGATTTTTTGTTTTCATTGGCACGGATTAAAACTCGACCGTTTTTTAATACAGCTGTGAAAATGAATTTGCATAGCAGTACGTAATAGATTTCTATATTTTTAGCATAAGTTCTTGTCACCAAGATAAAACGGTTATTCCTTTTATTCTATTATTTCTTTTTATGCCCCCGCCATATAATGGCTGGGGCATATAGTGTTACCCTGTTCCGTCATTCCGTCCTTCCGTCATTCCGTCCTTCCGTCATTCTGTCATTCCGTCATCATTAGTTTCCGTTCATTATCTTAGAAACGGTTGCACACATTCAACTCATATTTGGCATATGGATATGTCATGAGAAAATACAGATCAAGATCGAATTTGGTCATGGTTCAATGAGTTTATTCAAAATCCACGTAGCAAAACAATATCTTGAACATTTATTAAGCATGATTTATGTAAAATACACTTTACTAAACGAGTATGGCGTTTCAATACTTAGATTCAGTGATAAATGATTTACCGCTTCAGTCGTTAGGTATTCCAGCATCACAATCAAACATGGTTGTTTTGTTTGTTGTTTTTCCTCGCGGGGGGGGGGGATTATGTACAAAATCATTGAATTTGATTCAAGAAATTAAAAAGATTAGGATTATATATTTGCAAATACCAACGACAAATATTTAAATAAAACAGTCTTGTTAAAAGCACGTTATGCCTCTTTCTATTTTTAATTCTTAAAAAATAATTGAAAACTATTTAAAGTTGCACTGAACGTGCAGTAATGTGTTATGATGGTAGAAAAATGTAAACAATGTAGTATTTTGACTTCCATATAAAAAGATAATGCAATATGATTATACCCTTTGCAAAAGTTGAAATTTTGAGAAATAAAATTGATAGAATTTCTGAGGCAAAATGTCATAAAATTATTAAAAAAGGGAAACATAATTGTGTATTGCAAAAAGAATTTCATTGACATAAAAATTGCATGCTACTTACAAAATAAAGTTAACGCTATTGAAATGTATTTCTTTTTTCAGTTGTAAATGCCTGTCACTACTTTCTTAAGCTTCTGTTTTTCGTCCTGTCTTTCAGGTTTTCCAACATTATTTTGGTATTTTGGCATTTACTACTTGAAAATTATTAAATTCTCTTTAAATTTCTCCTGATGCTTTTGTTTTATCGAACATATACATGTATTTAAAATCGTTTTTTTTTTTGTTTTTTTGTTTTTTTTCGTTTTTTTTCTTTTAAATAAAGATTTTTAATAATAAATTCTTTATCAAAATTGTTCCACTTCGGAGAAATACACTCTTTTAAACGACATGGTTACACTTTTTCAATGTAAATTGAGTGATGTTATGCAATTTAACCGTTTGGTCAACCTTTGAAGTCTACCACTTTGCACATTGTGAGTTACTTACTGTAAGTCTACTCCAGCGTTACTTGTTGCGACCTTTCGTGAGTTTAGGTCGAGATTGAGATTAAGTATCGTTTCTGAATACGGGCCTATATCTTTCATAAGTAAAAGTCAACCTTAAAATATATAAAAGAAAATATTCAATATAAAAGGAAGGAAAAATCGAAAATCTTGTTTATTCTTAATTATGGAAAGGAAACAAAAAGCACTGACTGAAACAAAATATGATATTTTTATGAAAGATTGAGAAAGGTAGTAAAATTAAAACTGAAATATCAAAGGATTTTCAAATTCCAAAAAGTACGCTCTCGGGAATTGTGTCTAAAAAAAAGAAATAAAAGACTATTTTTTCTTCTTATAATCAAATGATCTTCAAAATGGAAGACGATGGTAAACAATGAGTTCGTTATATGTAAATATGTTCGCTATATTAACTCCTGATACAAGGAACTAATTTGCTATATACTTACAAGGAACTCCGGATATGAGGACAGAATGTCCCAATGAGTTCGTTATAAGCGGAGTTTACTGTATATAAATTGTGCTGTTAATCCATTTATATATGGATTATGGGTTTCGAGAATCCGGAAGTCGTGCAGAAATATCGTCTGCAAAGGAATATGTAAATTGTTCCATAAATTTAACCGGTCTGCAAAGGAATCAATTGGAACGTCCTCAGCTATTATCTCCGAAGCCTGACGGAAAGGGCCGAAAAGCTGCGATTGCAAAGGAATATGTAAATTGTTCCAAAAATTAAACCGATAAATGAATACTTTGAGTTGAACATTATTAAAAAGGTTCAACATATGTATATTTATTTGCATTTCATATTTCTTTATGTTCATAGAATAATGTAAATAATTTCTTTTCAACACCAATGAGCTATTAAGAGAAATCGTAGAAAGTTACCGATAGTGTAAAAGCATAATATGCAAGATATTTCTTAACGTTGTTGTGTAAAACCATATAAATATTTCGACTCTTAACAATTATATTTAAATTAATGTCAATCATTTATTGGACACTAAATTAGTCTTACGCACATAAATACAATATTTATGTTGTAAATCAAAGGGACGCGGTGTATTTATTATAGATATATAGAAGCCAATGCGTATATTACCGAAGCCTATATTTAGGCCATTTTTATTTAACTAAGAACTTTTATCTTCAGGCTCAATATATCGGAATGCGGTAAACCGTTCGGCATCATGTGACAGTGCATAGAAGTTCTTGCTAAAAGTAGTAGACTTCCCGTAGTACGTATGCATAGACCATTAAGTTGACATACGAATGACATGGAAGCTGTCTAGACGACATGACTTGAATGTATGAAATGTGAGTTTGTTTTGTCCCTTCTACAACTTGCAAATAGCATAAAATTATTTCCACATCACGTTGATTTTTAACTACTTCTGGTCACACTTTAGAGAGAAAAGATAAATATTTTTGGAAAGAAAATAAACAATAAAAGTAAAATCAATAAAACATAACAAATTTTAAAATAATTTATAATTTTTTTTATTAAATTGAAGAACGTCGTGTTCTCAAGTATCATGTTATTAAGATCACATTGTATTCGTTTTGATTAGAAATGTACGCTATATAATCTAAATTGATGAATGACAAAATGCGTCCTATAATACCGTACAATGTAATTTCCTTATTCCCAAAACATGGTATATAACTCAGCAAGGCCGTAGAATTTGTTTAGAAGAACATGCGGAATAAAGTCATGCATTCGGGGCCTTGACCCTATTGACCTCAACCCTTTTATGTTTTTAAGTTGGTTTGGCAGGTAGAAGTAATCGAGCTGCAAAGACCCGATTGTTGGTGTTTGTAGGTCGAAGAAGTTCAACCTTGAATGTTACTTTAGGTAAAACCCTATGACAAGCAGAGACAGACAGGCAGACAGACAGATAGATATAATCTGGCAAACCGATCAAAAACATTAATCTATCGATTAGGGGTAAAAGAAATGCACTTGGAAAATTTATGTTTGACAGAAAAAGATGCTGACGTGTTTTGAATACAACATTTTGAATACATTCAAAACATTTGAATCTAATCTCAACAGAAGAAAGTAAGAAATGTTGTTTTTAAAAAGGCGTGTTCTTATGAGAACTATACATGAAGGATAAGTAACTATATTAAGTGAAATTTCGAGTTTAGAATTACAGTTAAAATGGTAAAATGAGGCGTTTCTCAAACTCTTCAAGAGTTGTTGTAATATTGTGTCATCATTTCTTGTATATACAACACAATAATAATCCTAACCGTATTTATCATTAACTTTATCATGTCACGCACACACATATGAGCCGCGTCACGACAAAACCAACATAATGGGTTTGCGACCAGCATGGATCCAGACCAGTCTGCGCATCCGCGCAGTCTGATCAGGATCCATGCTGTTCGCTTACAAACCCTATAACAAGTAGTGAAACTGATAGCGAACAGGATAGATTCTGATCAGACTGCGCGGATGCGCAGGCTGGTCTGGATCCATGCTGGTCGCAAACCCATTATGTTGGTTTTGTCGTGACGCGGCTCATATAAATATGATGTTTTGCAACGATGATTGTGATAAAATATGAAAGAAAAGAAACGAACAAAAACAAACAAACAAACAAACAAGTTTATAAGTAAGTTATAAGTTTACAAATAAAAGATGTTTTACAAGAACATTGTATATACTTTTAATTTATTCTTTAATATTTTAAATCTTTTGTACAAATGTGTTGTCATTATTTGTTAAATGATTTATCAACAAAACCGCATGACCTTACACTGCAAAAATCTGTAATATATATTTATATATATAATGCTTAATTTGCTAAAACATTGAAATGATTATTGACAAATTGAATAATATTTTCACTCAATAACATTATAGTATTCCATTTACTTTGTGACAAGAATTTAGATATAACTTAGAAACATATGCGTTGTTTTTACTTATTCAACTGCTATGAAACAAAATAAAAACGAAAATATAAGGTTCCACTTACACCAGATATGTTAAGCACTCAAAGTGACATTTTCAAAATAAACATTTTTACATGAGGTATCTGTAATCCTGAGCATTTCATTAGTTTGCAACTGTTGATTTGTCCGCGCATGCGCGGAATAAATATTCGTTCCTTCCGATCAATTCACTTCCGGCTTCTGATGATTAATATCACTATATCTATAAGGTTATGCATATAATTATGACTTACGTAGAGTTATACACAACTATCATATTTCAAACTGCATTTTTAATAAAGTATAATCTTATTCAATTTGACGTTTTCATAGTTGGTATCCCATTCGGCAATTGTCGAACGGCGCCATATTTAAAGAATTGTGGGAACTTTCCGGCCATGTTGCGCCCATAAACTGAGGTCTTGTAGAGAAGATGGTCAAATATCAACATATCTTGTGTAGACATCCGATGAAAACTAATACTTAGCTGACTGCAGCATTCAGACCCCTATAATAAATAAAGAAGATCTATACACAAATTGCAATCTTTCATAGACTGTCAAGCGATATTGTTGTCACGTGACAATGTAATTTTTATACTCTTGAAATATTTTGATTAAATATCAACAATAAAGGAATCTTTCTTTACTATTCAGAAGCATGCCATTCGCCACGAAATGGGTTTTTTTTGGTCATAGATGTTGAATAGCAAGTTTTGTAGTGTTTTGGGAGCATTTCTGGTCATTTACAGATATTGATTTGAATTCTCAGCATAAGCAAAATTGAGTCAGAATAATACAACAACAATGTCAATTTGTGATTAAACAAAAACACGTGCAGTCATAATTATTGTATTAGACGGTTTATTGATTGACTGATTGATTGATTGATTGATTGATTGATTGATTGATTGATTGATTTATGACAAAATTTATAATTCTCTGTCTATGTAGATGAATTAACTTCGTTTATATTTTCGTTATATTGTGAGGTTTGTGTTTAAATGAACTGTAACTAAATCAATAAGAAAATCGTGATTTTATATTTGAAGTCAATCTTATTTACATATAAAAAGAAAAATGATGGAGATATATTGTATCAGTTATACACAAAGCAAAGTTGGTGTTATAAAAGAAATAAAATGTCCTTCTTACGCCTTTTGGCTTATTCCTTGAGTAGTAATAAAGCCATTGCGGTGGTGGGCCAGGAATGTAGTCGTGTATTCTATCCGGGTGAAAGGTTTCACGCTCAAATTTATCCACAGAGTTATAAATAGAAACGCCCGACTTGATAGCACACCGACCAACTTCAAGATCTTCAAAACTTCCACTTTCTCTGCATGTTCCTTTAGTCTGTATGCCCTTTTCAACGAGTAACTTAAGTCCCGCTCTGTTAAATATATAACCTGCGCCGCCACTCATGTACGGCGAGTCAAACCACGATGGTTCTAGCTGGTATCCGAGGTAAGAAGGTTTAGTTTTGTCTAGACCTCGCACTAAATGTCTGAGGTTTTCCATTATCATATATGTATCATCGTCAGCTTTCAGGAACCAATCAAAATTGTTTAATTCAGTTAAATATAGATATTGTAAAACTTCTCTCGATTTTTCTGTCAAATTTTGATAACCTTCAGGTGTATCGATAAATATCACGTCACCGATAGATATTGTCGCAAAATTATCGCCATTTGCTGTCGTATATTCCTTCCGCTTTCCGGCACTTAGATCAAATGTCACTTTTGGCATTGCTGTAGGTGTAACAGGCATTCCAGGAAGGGGTGGAAGAGTTGTTTCATCGCCATAAGCGGAAGCAAAGAAAATGTGCTTGTTGCACCGTGGTGCCCACGTAAAGTTAACACCGGCTGCTTTAGTAACTACTCCAGTTTTTGTTGTTAAAATCCAGCAGTAAATCGTTACTTCGTTGAATAAGTTTTGAGCTTCTGAATCATCCACATAAACTGAAAAAAGGATATTAATGATAAAAGATATTTGCGAAAAGTGAACTGTTTAAGATAAATGCCTTTCAATCTGAGGCACTTTGACTGAAGCCCAACTTAGGCCGTTACCATATTCCTTCATAATACACGAGTGGGCTCGACTGTGGTTTGAACAATATCTAAGATTTTTATAAAATTGTTATAAAATGAGTTCTAGGAAAACTAGAGAGACAGAAAGCAGCACTACTCTAGGTAGTTTTGTTAAATAAACAACATCCCCTAATCACCTCGACCCAAAAGGTGCTTTCTGATAAAGTTCAATGTAGTATCAAATCACCGACTCGTCTCATTTTGGCGTCTATGACCGAGTGGTTAAGGTTTTTGACTTCAAACGTCTCACCCCCGAATCCCAAAGATGTAGAGGTAACCATTATTTCTAGTTGAATACAGCCTCAATCACCAATTCCGCATTAAAGTAAGGAGGATGCTTAAGTTTCTGCTTAAGGTAAAATCGGCGAATGAAGTTAGTGCTTCAAATCACTGACCCATCCCCACACCCTTGTAGAGGAGAGGACACCGTATTCTGCTCTCGGTAAGTTATAATGTTCAATATAGTACAAATCGTCAGGAATGACATGTGCTAATTTAACCACTCCTTGGTAGTTTGGTTATGTGGGACTTTTGTGATTCTCAGAAACATAGCTTTATTTATAATTTACAAGATTTATATGGGAGAAAGAAACAAAAACATATGAGCAACAACAACAGAAACAAAGACAACAACAACTTACTTTCGTTGTTTGCCAACGGTATATTGTCCAAACTGGGCTCGAAAACAGAGAAAGAAGGAGATATCCCTGAAATAAGAATAGATGTTTAGCCGCAGAATATATGACGTATACCTGGACTTAGTAATATTAAACATTTTATATGAGGGTTAACACTGTAATTAATTGTGTGAACTTACATGTCATAAGCTTTTGAAAGAATTATACATGTATATACGTGATTTCATCACATGACTTCGATGGATGCAAGCATATATATTTGAATCTGGTGACAACATTAATTAATCTGTCAATATCTTGCGGTTCTGATCGGAATATCCGTCCCGAAGGGACGAGGCTTGCCGACTCATCTGGTACCCCATGCCAGATGAAATTTCCCGGCATGAGTAAAGCTAACGGAAACACCTGTCTGATATGCAAGAATATATATCAGTAACAGTACTAGACATAAAGAAGAAATATGTAAAGGTGAGAACTATAGAAATAGCAAGACCGGCGAAAAAGAGTCCATTTAAACACTATATTAACATTATAGCCTAGGCTACAGCAAAAAGTATATTTACATAACTGCAAAACAACATTTAACACAACTACAAAGCAGCAAGAGCACCGTATATTTTTACAGACAAGCAGCATAATGATAAGAGCACTGTTTATTTGCATTATATCATCACATCAGTATGACCTCTGTTTATTAAGAAATCAGCAACACAACTGTTAGAGCACTGTATAATAGCATAATAGCTACATACAAATAAAACGTTATGTATTCACTGGACAACAGACTGTATATTTATATAACAGCAGCTCTGCTGTAAGATCAATGTATATTAACGTGACGGCAACACAACGTCAACATTTAAAAACATAACAGCAACACACAGTAAGAGAAACTGTTTATTTTTGCCTAATAGCATCACAACAGTTAGATTACTGTCTATTAACATAGCCGGAAGGAACACATCAGTAAAGGAACTGCATATTTACACTGCAAGGCCACTATATATTTACATAGCAGCAATATAGCAGTAAGAAAAACTACATGTATATAATTACATAGCAGCAAAAAAAAGCAGAAAG